CATAAAACTCATGATGGAAAATGTTATCCACATCCAGAGAAAAAACTATGGAGTCTGAATGCAGATTGAAGCATGTTATTTTCTCTCTTTTTTTCTTTCTTGTAGTTTTTCCCTTTGGTTTTGAGTCTTTTTCACAACATGACTAATGTAGAAATATGTTTAATATGATTGTACATGTATAGCCTATATGAGATTGCATGCCATCTTGGGGAGGGAGAAGCGGAAGGCAGGGAAAAGTTTTAGAACTCAAAATCTTATAAAAGTGAATGTTGAAAACTAAAAATAAATAAATAAATTTAATTTTAAAAAAAGGACTGGCCCTAGATAAAGGACATGTTCTTCTAATTTATGCATTTGTTTAGGAAAAGAAACACCACATCGTTTGTCCACAGTAGTAATAGGCTGACACTATGTTTTCTTGAATCCACACTTTTGCTCTGTACTAAGCCATACCCTATTCCTGGAGTGCTTATCCTTATCACCCCTAACTATTGAAATTTAACTATCCTTCAAAGCCTAGCTCAACTTTCACATCCTTCATGAAATCTTCTTGTCACTCCTTCCAGGAAAGATCTCTCCTTCCTGTGAACTTTCACAATACACTGAGCCCCTCTTATTCTTTTTAAAAATTACCTTTATAAAAGTTAAGAAATAACATTTATAGTTATTTATGTTCATGGTTTAGCTTCTCTACTAGCAAATAAGTTCATTAAAGGTAGATTCTGAGGGGTAGCTAGGTGGCGCAGTGGATACAGCACCGGCCCTGAAGTCAGGAGGACCTGACCAAACATTTGACACTTACTAGCTGTGTGACCCTGGGCAGGTCACTTAACCCCAATTTCCTAAAAAAAAAAAAAAAAAAAAAAAGGTAAATTCTGCAGTTTTGTTGGGCAGCAATATTGTTCAGTAGAAAGGATACCAGGCTTGGAATCAGGAGTCCTGAATTCAAGTCTTAATTGCATCATCTTGAGTTAACTGCTCTAAGTCTTATTTTCATCATTTGTAAAACAGGGATGATAATAAGGCTTGCAATAATCCTCATTAGGTTGTTGTAAGGGAAGACTTACAGAAATATATCATATACTTAATATTACACATCTTTGTATCCCTCATTACGGCTAGCTATAGAGGTAAGGGCCCTGTAAATATTATGTTCAATAATGATTTCTTGAAAAAAAAATGAATGTATGAAACAGGGCTAGCAAATAAACCATGAACTCCAGTTATATAGTGAATGTTCTATACAACCTTAATCAAAGCAAAACAAAAGTCTTTCCCTTCAACTCTTTGGGATTTGCCAATTTCCTTCTAGCAAAAGTTGCATGCCTGGTAAATCAGGAATCAAAAGAGGAAAGATTCTATCCTGAGGGGAAGGTGGAAGAAAAGCGTGAGACCTAGTTCCTTCTCTTCTCCCCAAACTGGCATTTTCCAGTGGAAATTCCTAAGGGCAGACAAAGGGAGAATTGGGGAAAAAAATTACTTCAGTGTCAAGAATGTTGACTGCTCCCTAGAACATATCAGCTAGCATTTAATAGGTCTCCAAAAAGCTTTGAGGTTAATAATAGGTTTCTACTGTACATTTCACCTAATGATCTTGTGATGCACAATTCCCATTAATTAAATGGTAATTGGGCTCTTATTGAATAAGGAAGTATTTCTCTTTTATATTAAAGAAAGAAATCTAAGGTGTAGCTGGATTAAACGACCGCCTTGGCTTTTGATGACAGTGCTTTCCCTTGAAAATACAACTCATAAATTTGTGCTGAACTGATGGAATGTGGCAAGGAGAGTTAGAAAGTGTTAGTTTAGCCTCAGCCACTTAAAAATACCTACATTAATATATTTTGTTGTCAGAAACTTCGTTACCTCTTGCAGATTGTTTATTATTGTTGGCCCCAGTACTTTTCTCCCTTCTCCTGAGTGCTTACAGAGGCCTGGAATCTAAGATCTAGTCCCAGTCCTGACATTGAAGCCAAGGAGAACATGTCTGATCACTCTCCCTTCTCTCCCTCTAACCCCCTCCCATCATAGCCCTTCAAATACTGGAAGGAAATTAATATGTCCTCAATCTTCTGTCCACATTAAACTTTCTCAATTCCTTTGAGGATTGAGGATCCTCCTGTGACACAGTTATCAAACCTTCTCACAGTCTTGTGAAACATCTTATATTGATTGTCTTCCAGTTTAAAATATGCTTATCAGAATTTAACACGATACTCTAAATGTGGTCTGATTAGGACAGAAGATCAGGGAATTATCATCTTTACAGTCCTGGATCCTCAATCTTTCAATGTAGCCTAAGATCTCAGTATTTTGGGCTACCATGTTATACTCCTCACTCATTTTCAGTCTGGAGTCCATTAAAATCCCTGGATCTTCCCCCCCACCCCCTGCATGAATCCAAGGGAGACTTCTTCGTTCTTTACATGTGAAGCTGATTTTTTAAATATCGGGGTAAGACTTTATATTTATTATCCTCTCTCAAAATCAAATTTGTATTTACTTGGTATATATTTTGGCTATGGGTATTTTCTCTGGCTGTTTCCCATGCCTGGAATGCTTTCCTCCCTCATCTCTACCTACTGGCTTCCCTGGCTTTCTTTAAGTCCCAACTAAAATTCTAACTTCTACAGGAAGCCTTTCCCAATCAGTCATAATTTTAGTGCTTTTCCTTCTCGTAATTATTTTCTATTTTTTCTGTATTTAGTTTGTTTATACATATTTGTTTGCTTGTTGTCTCTTCCAATGGATTGTGAACTCTTTGAAGGCAGGGACTATCTTTAGCTTCTTAGATGTAGATAAACATCTGACAGGGCAGCTTGGTGGCAGTGGATAGAGTCAGAAAGGCCTGAGTTTCAAAGCCTGGCAACAGACTTGACTGGTTAGGATATTGGTGCCTTCCTTCTAAGGCTACCCCCAGATTACACCGTCTATCTCTTGTTTCGTACCTAGGTTGTTTGCCTGTTGTCTCTCCCATTAAACTGTAAGAAGTGGTCAGATAAGTAGAAGGAATAACAGGGTAGATGACTGTCACAGAAACCTAGAGAAAAGAGGATATCAAGAACAAACCATTTCACCTCTCTGTAACTCATTTTCCTTCTCTGTAAAGTGAAGAGGTTGGATTTGATGACCTCTAAGGTTCCTGCCAGTTCTTTATTTATCATCCAGTGAAGTATATATAGAACCATACTGGCATATAGCACTTAAGTGTTTTATCTATCTTCACACATATTTGTTGTTGTTCAGTTGCCCCCCTCATTCAGTCTGTTACCAAATCCTGTCTACAATCATAACATGTCTTGTATTAACTCTGTTCTTTCCTCTGACACTGCCACTATCCTGGTGAAGGCCCTCCTGCTGCAAATTTCACCTCACTACAATCCAGCCTCCACTCAGCTATCCAAGTGATCTTCCTAAAGCACAGGTCTGATCAAGTAAGTCACCACCCATCCTCCTCACAACCCTCCATTCAATGGACTTCCCATTACCTCCAGGATCAAATATAAAAACCTGTTTGGCTTTTAAAGCCCTGCAAAATCTGGCTCTTCCTACATATCTAGTTTTCTTACACCTTATTCCCCTCCATATGCTCTGTGATTCAATGACCCTATCTCCTTGCTATTCCTGGCTCCAGTGTGCCCTACACTCCATCTCCTGGCATTTTTACTGGCTGTCCTCAAGGTCTAGAACTCTCTACCTCCTCACCTTCACCTCCTTGGCTTCCCTGGATTCCTTTAAGTCTCAGCTGTGATTGTGGTTTATCCTTCATTCTGGAAGAGGACCATGACATCAGGAAGATGATGCCATGACTTGCAATTGAATTGGATTTGAGTGAGGGTGGGCTGTGCAAAGTCACCAGCCTTACTTTCTCCTCCAGAGACATCTGGGTCCAGTGACCAGATATAGATCAGGACAACTGGAGATGGCCCAGGATGCAGTGGGAAACAGCTCTCACTTTGATTGAGGCAACACCCATTCAGTGATAAGGCTTGTTTAAGAAGTCAGTCAAGGGATGGCCTCCTTAATAAATAATAATAATAATAATAATAATAATAATAATAATAATAATAATAACACTGTGAAGGGAAGACCCTCAGAAGTCTCAGCTAAAGTCTCACTGCAAGAAACCTTTCCAGATCCCCCCAAGTGTACTAGTGCCTTCCCTTGGGGATTTTCTTCAATTTATCCTGTATATATTTTCCCACTATTATCTTCCCATAGACTGTGAGTTCCTTGAGAGCAGGAACTGTTTTTTGCCCTTCTTTGATCTCCAGGGCTTAGCACAGTGTTTGGCACAGCAAGTGTTTGATAAATGTTTGCTGACTTGATTTGACTTGACTTGCCCTGGGTTACACAGCTAGTTAAATGTCTGAGGCAAAATTACAACTCTGGTCTTCCTTATTCCAAATCCAGCCCTTTATGCATACATGTTTCGCCTAACAGAAGGGAGTCTTGTTGTGGACAAAGGAGTTTTGGTTTTGTCTCTGTATCTCTAGCACCTAGCACAGCTGGCACATAGTAGGTTCTCCAATAAGCACTTGCAGAATTGAATTGAATGCCTATTAAATTTCATCTGCTTAGATTCAATCAGTCAACTAGCATTTGTTAAGCACCTCTGCCCTGTCACTGTACTAAGAGCTAAGGATACAAAAAAAAAAAAAGGCAAAAGACAGTCCCCTCCCTCAAACTTACAGTTTAATGAGAGAGAAAACAGGCAAACAACTAGGTACAAAACAAGAAATAGACAGTATGATCTGGGGACAGCCTCAGAAGGAAGGCACCAACATCCTAACTGGTCAAGTCTGTTGCCAGGCAAGATGATTTGGAAACTTAAAGCTCTGCAGAAACGCCAGCGGCTCTAACTGAGCGGCTGCTGCCGCCCCATTCCCAACAGCTCCTCTCCCGGCTGCGATACGAGGAACGTATAGGAACGCAACTACACCGGAACCAGATGTTCCTGCAGTTGGTTTCCGGCCGGCGCTATGCTCGCGCTTCCCTCTGAGGACTTCCGGGAATCTCGGCTGAGGAAACTGGGATTCTCTGAGTAACGGGTGACGCCGGTTCCGCTATGGAGTTTGAGGAGGCGGTGAGGACTCGGGCCGGGCTGGGATGGAGATGGAGGGAGAGACGGGGCTTCGTCAGGCCTCGCGGGAGAGTGTAGGGACTGATCAGTGCACTGAGGGCCTCGAGGCAGGGCAGGGAGGGGCTGACTCGGGGGGAGAATTAAGGAGGGCCCGGGCACTTTTTAAGGGGTGCCTGGAGTGTTCGGCGTACCCTCGGTACTCCCGTGAATGACGGGGTGTGAGCGTGTGAGCGTGTGAGTGTGTGTGTCTGTGTCCAAATTTGAAGAGTTACCGACCGTTATGTGGTGTCAGGGTGTGTGTGTGTAAAAAGGTACGGTCCGTTGCTGCGTAGTGTTAGACTTAAGTGTGTACACAAGTTCAACAAACATTTTTTTTTCTTTTGCTTTTTGGTGAAGCAATTGAGGTTAAGTGACTTGCCCAGGGTCACACGGCTAGTAAGTGTCAAGTATCTGAGGCCGGATTTGAACTCAGGTCCTCCTGACTCCAAGGCCTATCCACTGTTCCACCTGGCTGCCTCTCAACAAACATTTTTTTAAGCACCTGAGGAGTTCAAAACTCTGCTGGACTGTGGAGGAGGCGGGATGGTGGACGGGAAGGGAGACATAGACCCTTCCCTTAAATAGCTTACATTCTGCTGGAAGAAAATAACTCTATATAGATAAGTAAGTCAGGTTGGAATTGAGAGGAGATGAGAAAGAGTGAGTGAGTGAGTCTCTTTTTGTATCCTCATCAATTAGCACAGTCACATAGTAGACACTTAATACATGTTTATTGATTGTTGTTATTGTAAAAGCTTTCCAACTTTGTGTAATTGAAATTACCTATTTTTTTCTTTTTTTGGTCACCTCTATCCTTTAGTTGAGAATTTTTCCCCCAGCCATAACTGTAAAAGGTGCCTGTTCTCTTCTGACTTTTTAAATGGTGTAACCTTTAATCAGGTTATGTATCCATTTTGAGCTTATTGTGGTGTAAGATGTTTATATCTAATTTTCTGTCAAACTTTCCCCAGCATTCTTGTTGTAATGGTTTTCTTCAGTAATTGCATTATTAGGGTCATGTTAGTCACCTAAAAGAGAAGACTTCAGCTTTTCAAATCATCTGTCCCATACTTGATAATTTCACAGTATCACAGAATTTGAGAGAAGGGACCCTAGCAGCCACCTAGTCCAACCCATACATGAAAGGAATATGAGCTGTAATATATTAAAAAAGTATTCCAGCCTCTGCCTGAAGAACTCCCAAGTAGGGGAAACACTACTTATCAAGGTGCAACTTATCTTACTTTTTATGTATAGGTCTAATTTTTAGGAAGTTTTTCCTGACATCTGTAGAATGAACCTCCTTAGCATCTGAATTTTCATGCCTCACTCTAGATTTACAGTGGCACCTCTTAGGACAAGACCTTGAAGATAATCTTTCCAAATCTGCTAACCTCTCAGTCCTCCTTTCGTTGTCAGGGCCTCTAATTCACATCCTTCTACTAGCTACACCTCTCTGAATAAAAATGCACTATCTAGATGTACATTTGAGTTAAATATATTGAATGCATATTTTTCCTCTTCTCTTACAGAGAGACTTTAGTGAACGCTGTACACAGTGTACTGCTGTTTCCTGGGGAATTACTGATGAAGGAACATATTATTGTACATCTTGCCTCAATGTTACAGAGGTGAGTAATAGATATTTTAAGAAATAAGTTGGCTTACATTTAAAAATTTCTTGCATGAAGGAAAAAGCCGAAATATAGTTTGCAAAGTTTTATAGATGAACATCCAAATTTATTTCTCTATGTCTTCAATCATGTCATTCGAAAATATATCTTCACAAATATTTAGACTTAGGATGCTGTCTTTAATTATATTAATTCTGCCAGATGTTTGAAATGGTTCTACTTAACTACTAAACATTAGGCTCCTTCAAGGAAGAAATTATCTTAGCTTCCTTCAAGGAAGAGACTTTAAATCTCATAACTTGATTTTCGGTTTGATGTTGTTTTGGTCAGGGAACTGTGATTTTATTGATGTGGGGAAATACCTGTTGTGGAAGTTCTCTCTACTGAAGCAGATCAGCAGATCATCTGTAATATATATTGATTGAACTTTGCCTGAGTCAGTGAAAGATTAACTGACCATGGGGTCATGCAGCTAGTTTGTCAAAGTATAGTCTTGAACCTAGGCCTTTGTGACTTGAAAGCTGACCCTCTATCCATGGTGCCACGCTGCTTTTGTACATAGCACATACTTAATAAATGTTTATTTTAGTATTCTTGGAATTAAACTCTGGAAAAAAAATACATTTTGTACTTGAGGATTATTTAACTCTAGTTATTAGTAATTTTACTTTTTTGGGTGGGGATGAAAATCAGGAATAAGGAAAGGCTCAGTATAGGAAGAATTTGAGTTTAAACTTCAAGAAAAGTAGGACTTCTAAGACATGGGGAAATGGGGAAGTTTTCCATTCTAGGTATAGGGGGATGAACTGTGGCATATATAAAGAACAGCAAAGAAATATGGAAAGATATATGAAGTAATGAAAGGCATGGTCAACAAAATAAGAAAAACAACCAATATATTGACTAAAACAGAATTAAAAAAAGAGGCCACTTAACTTTTTATAAACATACAGGTGAATAAAAGGGACAAAGAATAAATTGATTCTTGTTATTAAAATTTATATTGTGTTATTTTTCAATCATAATGTTCGGATTTGATGATTTTATCAAGAAATATATTCCACATTTTGTTTGTATTTGTTGAAAATGTAGCTATTTTAGAAGTCAAAAAAGAAATCTGTAGAGAGATTCTTTGCGTAGCAGCATGACACAAGGGACCGTTTGTTGGATTTGGAATCAGAATCTTGATTTAAATCCTGGCTTTGCTGCTTTTTACTTGTGTGAATTTGGGCAAGTCACCTCCCTTCTCTGGACCTCAGGTTTCTCTTCTGTGAAGTGAGGGAATTGGACTATAGATGATCTGCAAATTCTCTTCCAACTTTAAACATTTGATAGAGAGCATTCAGCTAATCAACAAATGTTTATTATCTCCAGTATGCCATGTACTGGATTAAGAGCTAAGGAAACAAAGAGACACATGAAACAGTCTCTGCCGTTAAGGAGCTTAAATATTTTAGGTGGAGACAACATGTACATGTATAAGCATATACAACAAATGCAAGACAATTTCAGGGACAGTAAGTATTCAGTAGCAGGTTGAAGGGGTTCAGTAAAGTCACTGAGTAGGAAGTGGCATTTGAGATGGACAGAAAGACACCAAGAAGAGCATTCCAGGCATAGACAGTAACCTGTACAAAGGCGATGAATGTGATCTGTGAGGAGGACAAGAAAGCCACTTTGGCTGGCTCATAAAATGTATGAAGGAGAGCAGTGTGTAATAAGTCTGGAGAGGTAGTTTGGAGCCAGGTTGTGAAGCACTTTTAAGTGTCTAACAAAAGAGTTTAATCCTTTAGGTATTAAGGAGTCACTGGAGTTTATTGGCTCAGGGACTGACATGGTCGGATCAGTTCTTTAGCAACTTTGTGACGGATTGATTGGAGAGGGGAGAGACTTGGATCAGGTAGACTAATTAGGAGGCTTTTGTAGTAGTCAAGGTAAGAGGTAAAATGAATGCTTAAATTAGTGTAGTGGCCTTGTAGGTGGAGAGGAAACAAATGTGAGTGATACAATGCTAGAATTGACAAGACTTGGCACGTGATTGGATATGTGGAATTCGAACCCAGAGTAAAAATTCGCAATACAGAAACATTAGAGGCAATTCTATTAAAAACAGTCTAAAGACTCCTGATGTCACTACTTCTGTTTAACAGACCATTGGAAATAGTAAAACATGACATTTACATAGGATTGTAATGTTAGCAAAGCATATTATTTCTCATTTGATTCTGTTGATAACTCTGTAAAGTAGGTATTTGGGTATTTTTGTCACTGTTTTATAGATGAGAAATTGCCTTATGAAATTCGTTCCCTTCTGTCTCTTTCCCCCTTGGCATTTCTGATCCTTCTCCTTTCTTGGACCTTGCCACTGATGTTCATTTTCATACCTTATGCCAGATTTAGAGTAACATCTTTCACGAGAGAACTGGGAGGATATGCCTCTAAGGCTATTTTTCCCTTGTCACCCTAGTGCTTATGTCTTTGGCAGTATCCCTAACTCCATCTTATCTTATTACTGCCCTCTTTCAGATCCCGTGCTTTAGATTTTCACACTGCTTGTCCCTTGAAGAACCTTGTTACCTAAAATCCTAGCCCTGTTGGAGTCTCAGCCTTAGAACAGATGAGCTGCCAACAATGGCTTGGTGCTGCACTGCTTAACTGGTTCAGGGGAGAGAAGAGAGACTTCTCATTCCCAGTGCCAGTATTGCAGCAACGGGAGATGTGTTGAGGCATGTCAAGAGATAACTCTCAATTTATTTTCACATAGAATCATTTGTACATATGGTATACACTTCTAAAGTACTGACTGTCCTGTATTTTATGAAATAAATGAGCTTGTGTTGTAGCCTTGGAAATCTAACCCCCATATATACTTATTTTTTCCTTATAGGAAAATATGCTACTAGTTTCTAATGACCAAACAAACTTTTTATTGGAATCTGTTAATACCAACTTTGTGCCTGGCATATAATAAGAACTTATTAAAGGCTTTAACTGGCCAACTCTGGCCTAGAGCTTTATATCCCTTCAGAAAGTTCTGTAAAACCTAGAAAAAATGATTAGTTTCCTCTTAATAGGAAAGTTTTCCTTTCCAGAAAATTTTAGATAACTTCTTCCTCATAAACATTTGGGGAACCAAAGGGTGTAACTAATGGGAAGTGCTTTGCTTTTTAAAAATATGGAGAAAGTGAAACTTTTTTTTTTTAAATAAGCATGGCAAACAAGAATTCACAAAGGGAAAAAAGAGAATCCTTTAGCTGTATGTTACAAAAAAAAAACCTGAGCAAAAAGACACAGAAAAAAATTCCTTTCAAAGTAACTATAGAATGTACAAAATATTTGGGAATCCACCTAATAAGGTACACACGGGTATCACGTGAATTCAGCTATGAAACACTGTATACAGAAATAAAGATAGACATCTCTGATGGACCTTGATATACCCTACAAAAAACTGCATGTGGTGGGAGGCATCAGCAAAATTTCTTCATTGGTCCTGACCCTAAATGCAGGACCTTTAATTGTACAATTCTGTTTTCTTTAGTCCCCAAACAACTTGGTCAAATCCATGGCCCAGGAATGAATATAAACAAAAATCTTGTCTGCTGTCTCTCTTAAGGCTGTCTTACATAGTAGCCATACTGTATCAAGATTCTTTTTTTAATCATAATTTTCAGGTAGTCTGACTGTTCTCATATTATTTCTCCTTGATCTGTTTTCCAGATCAGTTGTAGATGTTTCACATTCTCTTTTATTTTTTCATTCTTTTGATTTTGTATTGTTATTATTTCTTAGTGTTGTAGAACATCATTAGCTTCCCTTGGCTTAATTCTAGTTTTCAAGGAATTATTTTCTTCCTTAAATTTTTGATTCTCTGTTTCAAGTTGGTTCACTTCCTTTTCATAATTTTCTTGTTTTCTTTTTTTTTTGGATTGTTTTTTTTCCCCCTAATTTTTCCTAGGTCTCTCTTATTTGATTTTTAAAATCCTTTTTAAGTTCTTCTAATAACTCTTTTTGTGCTTGGGACCATTTGACAGTTCTCATTGAAAAAGGAGTGGCTTTTTTAGCTCCATTATTTTCCTCTGAATAGGAACCCTATAGTAGTCATCAATGGTTAGGTTCTTTTTCCTTTGCTTACTCATTTTTATTTTTATTTTTTGTTTTATTTTGTTTTTAGCAGCTATTGGTGTGATCAAGTTCTAGTCCCTAGGTATGGGGAATGATGTCCCAAGCCTCAGGTCCTTCTTACTGTTATTTTCTGAGGTCTGTCCTGGGGCTCACAACCTTGGGTTCTCCTTTCTACTCTTGAGCCATGGCTAGGGCCCCAGCCATGCTGTCCCACAAATGATCTTGCTCCCTACTGTTCCATCAGTGACTGCCGACTGCAGCTGTCCTCTCTGCCCACGGACTGAAACCAGGGACTCTGCTCTCCTGCAAATGCCCACAGTCAGCAGGGTCCCCACCGGTCTGCTACTGCACTCACCAGATATGTGTGCTAACTCCTTTGCCACAGTGGCAGCCCAGCCCAGGGCACATCTGGTCAGCACAGGTCCCTTGACTGTGGAAAGTCCTTCAATCTTCTCTCTGTTGTCCAACCCCCACTCTGTCTGTGAAATGAAAGTTTCTAAGGCTGATACTTCTTCCCAATGCCAGCTACCCCCAGGGCTTGTTGTTTGTTGATTCCACAGAGTAGGCCTGGGGGTGTTTGTACTTCACCCAGGCAGAACCTCTGTCCCTGGAGGTGGGGTCTTTCCTGAGGTCTTCTCTAGTTGTTTTAAGAGAACATCTGCTTTACCCTGACTTTTGTTTATTTCCTCTACTCTGCGTTCCCCCTGAGGTGATATTCTGTCTTTTTTTGGTGGAGGAAATTTAGAGAGCTAGAAGTCTTCTGACGCACTCTGCCATCTTCCCAGAATCTCCTCCCCACAAAGTGGTCTTCCTAAAGTGCAAATCTGACCATGTCCACCAACTAAACCAGCCCCCTCCCCACCACTCAATAAATTTTAGTGGTCCCCTTTAGTATCAAATATAAAATTTCTCTGCTTTGTTTATAAAGCCCTTCGTAGTTTAACCCTTCTTACTTTTCTAGTCTTCTTATGCTTTGCTTCCTACCATACACTTTAGGATACAGTTACATTGGCTTTCTTGCCATTCCTTGAACATCACATTCCATCTCCCAAGTCCATGACCCAAGCTTGAAATGCTTTTCCTCCTTACCTCTGGCTTTCCTGGCTGCTGTTAAGACTCAGTTCAGAGAGAAAGTGGAAGCCAAGATGGCCAGAACCCAGAACTCTCCCAACCTTCCCTTCTAAACAACTTTAAAATAATGCTTCTGTTTGCCTTAATCCACTGGAGAAAGAAATGGCAAAGCACTCCAGTATCTTTGCAAAGAAACCCCTATGGGCAGTATGGTCCATGGGATCACAACTGAACAACGACAAGATTATATTTAATTTTGCCGGTAAGTTATTATTGATTGTAAGTAAAATATTTTGTTTTTTGGAATATCATATTCTCAGGCTTTCATTGTTACTGGCAGCTACTAAGTCTTGTGTGTTCCTTACTGTGGCTTCTTGGTACTTGAACTTCTGCTGTTTGTAATCTGACTTAGAAGCTCTGGACTTTGGCTCAAATGTTCCTTAGAGTTTTCATTTTAGGGCTTCTTTCAAGAAATAATAATAGGTGGAATTTTTATTTTTCTCATTGCCTTATGGTTCTAATAGCTCTAGGCAGTTTCTATTTATGATTTCTTGGAAGATGCTATCCATAAAGGCTTTTTGGGGGGAGGAACATGATTTCCATGTAGTTTAATGATTCTAAGATTATTTCTCCTGGACCTGGGTCATTTGCTTTTTGATAATATTTATATTACATTTTCTTCTGGTTTTTTTTCCCAGTCTTTTGATTTTGTTTTAGTATTTCTTGTGTTGTGGAATCACTAATTTATGCCCCATCTTTTATTTCAGGGAATTCTGTTATGGGTCTAAGTTATTAATTTTCGTTGCCATTCTTTCCCTCTTAGGTGTAATTTCCATTAAAATTGCCTCTTTTCTATTCTATCATTTCTTTCAGTTCCTCATGTAGTTCTTGTGTTCAGGATATTCTTTTTTCTGATGCTGTGTTTGGACTTCTTGAAGAGTTCATCTTTTTGGGGGGGTTTTACTTCCGGTCTCTCAGTCCAAGGTATTTATTCATTCATTTTGGGGGGAATTTTCTTCTGTTTCCTCATATATCTAACCTCAGTTTCTGGTTTGAGGCATTGTGTTTGGGTCAGATTTGACTACCTTTTGTAATCTTGGGTGGTGTGACAGGCCTTGTTTCATCTTGGATGTAGTAGCTAAGAGTAGGCAGTTGCAGTGAATAGAGTGCTAGGGTGGGAGTCAGGAAGATCTGAGTTCACGCATTTACTAGATTTTTAGCTCCTGGGCAAGTCACTAACCTCTATTTACCTCAGTTTCCTTAAGTATAAAATGAGGATAATGAACTGAGATATTTATAAAGTACTTAGCACAGCTTGGCACATGGTAGGTGTTTCATAAATCCCTTCCTTCTTTACTTCCTCCCTCCCTCCCTCCCTTTCAGTGTTTTGGTGTCGTGACTTAGCTTTTGATCTTGTCTCATGTTCCTTCTTGCACAGTTCTGAGCCCTCATTTGACTCTGGTCATTTACTCTGAACCCTGATAGTTGATACTTTGCTGATCTCTCCAGGTTCCTACTCTCCAGGGCTTCCAAAGTTCCTGCCCTGGGGGCTTTTGAATGCTCTGGGGCATTCCCTGGGGATTCCTGTGGTTTTGCTGCCTTTGGGCACAGAGCCTTGTAGGCTACATGTATTTCATCTTGAGTCATACTGAAGCTCATTTTGCTTGAGAGCCTTCTTTCCTATTGCACTTTGGATTGTGGTTGACTTTTTATGCAGTTCTGTTGTGGAAGCTGTCAGTTACTGTATTTTCTCATTGGATTTCTTTATCTTTCAAGTTTTTGCTGGAATAGTGGCAGCTGGTTGATCTGCCTCCTGTTGAAGCAGCTATGTTGGCAGGAACTGCTTCTGGGGTGGATATGGGACATCTGGGTGTCCTAACACTCTACCATCTTTCCACTTTCTTCAGCTGAATTTACAAGAGCAAATCCTCTCCCAGCCTATGGAACTCTGCAAGTGACAAAAACTCCCACCTTAGACCATATCCTCATTAGCCATTGTTTTAATTATTTATTAGTTTACTCTTTAAATTTCTCCTGCAAACACCCAGTTCATTTGATGATGAAAGCTAATACGCATTTTGACTCCCCAATAGAAGAAGTCATTCCCTTGGTCCTAGGAGGTATTATCTTAGGACCGTTTTTGTCATCCCTATCAAGTTCCCCAATCATTCATCACACTAACCCCACAGGCTTGTGGAGTTTTCTTTTTCTTTTCTTTTTTTTTTTAGGATGGGGTTTTCTTATCCCACTGAACTCCCTGTATACTCCAAAAAACATGTTAGCTGTGGGAAACCATGGTCTGCCTGATTACCAAGGGCTACTGTTCTTTCATAACAATCTTCTGACACTTAAAAAAAATGAATTTAATTACAAAGCCATTGTAAATCAACCTCTGCTGGCTCCAACAAGTATGGAGCTAGTCCCAACCCAGGCCCGTCTAGAAATTCAGACTCTCTATCCAAGTTGCCTTTTGTTTGGGTAATGTAAAGTCAGGGTGAAATGTAAAAGTCCTAATGAGCAGTCCTACAAGCTCCTATATGTTCTGATGAGGTTAAGTATCAGTTTCTATCTTTATAATGGTCTGTATCTGCTTTTTTCAGAGGTGTAAGGAGGTTGAAAGTATTGTGGACTTTACACCTAACACAAAGATCCAAGCCATCAGTAGAGGACTTAAAAAAAAAAGGAAACTTGGTATGTATACTCTTGATATACTTATCAGCACTCTTTTTAAATGTATATATTATCATCTTTTTAGTTTTCATTTAGAGGTATATGGGGTGTGAGGACTAGTACCTCTGGTGTGAGGGCTTATAGAGCCCTTTTCGGAGCTGCTTATCTAACTTCGGTGTTCACCTGATTCACTGAACTCTCACATGTGCCTATAAGAAGCTGTAGCATTTGCAGCAGCCACACCCTGGTAAACCGTCTTGGCAGATGGGTTAAACCAGGTTAAGGGTAATAGATAGGCCTCAGATCCATCAGTGAATTAGGGGGATGTCTGCCCTAAGCACTTCCCCCTGGCAGAATGGGCATATGAGAACAATTTGTTCCAACTGCAATGAAGGTGGGCCAAGCAGGCACTGTGGAGGACTTAGAGCTTGGTCAGATATCAAAGATACCAAAGTGTATCCAGTGCATCCTGGCCCATCTGTAGTCGTCTTGACCATTGTCTTGAGAGAGAGAGAGAGAGAGAGGAAGAGGACTGTGTAACTCTGCCTCACTTAAATCCAATTCATGTGCAAGTTAAGAATTTGGCTTGGACGTCATTGGTCCTTTTCACGTAACTACATTTCTAGGACAATGGTTTAAATACTGGATCCTTTCTACAATTTCATTAGTATGGGGAACCCCCTGGGTGAAGAAACTTCCTTCTTGGCAACATGTAGTCTTTAAAAAGTTCCCTAGAGTGCTGAGAGGTTAAGTGACTTGCCTCCTAGTCACATAACTAATATGTGTTCAGATGTGGAAATTGAACTGAGATCTTCCTGGCTCTGAGGCTATCTCTCTATCCACTATGTCATAATGAATTTATATAATATTTTAAGGTTTGCAAAGTGCTTTACAAATGTTATCTCATTTTATCTTCACAATAACGCTAGAAGGTAGGTGCTACTGTTATCTTCATTTTATAAATGAGGAAATTGAGGTAGGCAAATGTGAAGTGACTTGCCCAGGGTTATAAGCTTGTAAGTATCTGAGGCTGTATTTGAATTCAGGTCTTCCTGATTCCAGAGCCAGTGCTGCCTTTAGTTTTTATATCACAATCACATACTTCTTTCATAATATCATCAACCCAAAAAAATATTAAGCAAAAACAGCCAATACAAAACAGTGTCTGACAGTGTAATTTGCATTCTTCCCTTATAATCACCTGGCTCCTTTGCTTAGAAGAGAGAGGTAAATTTCATTGTGTTCTCTGAGACAGTTTTGTTTTTTTCAGTTACTCAGTTCATTTACACCATTGTAGTCATTATTGAGTGCTCTGCTTCTTTTTCATTTACATCATTATAGTTATTGTTGTGTGTTGTGCTTCTAGTTTTTATTTAACTGTGTCACTTCATACAAGTCCTTCCACTTTTCGCTGCATTCCTTATTTCTGTTGTGTCTTACTGCTGCACAGTAATATTTAATTACACTTGGGTGCTCCAGTTTGTTTACTTATTCTCCACATTCAGCATCCACTTTATTTCTGGTTCTTGGTTACTGTAAAAAGAGCTGTTATGAATGTTTTGATATATGTTGTATAAGAATTTTTTTAAACAATGCTGTCTGAAAAATAAATGAGTTCCTTTACAAGATTAGTGAGTTAACCATTACTGGTATTGTTCAGTCAGAGAGTCGATGACTACTTGTCAGGAATATTCTAGAGGGGATACATACATTGAGTAGTGAAAGAATTAAACAGTATCTGCTATCTCTGAATTTGGATATAACAGAATATATGTATACATATTTTATGTAAATAGAGTAGTAATTATAGCTATGTTAAAATTTCATTAATTTATATATTATAAATTCATAATGCAAATAAATACTCTAAATCTGAGATTTTAGAGAGATATTTACAGTATTTAGAACAAACTCTTAAGGTAATATAGCATGAATGTTGGACATGGGAGTCAAGAAGACCTAAGCTCAAATTTTGCATCTAACACTTTCAAGCTTTGTGTTCTAAGTAACTTAATCTTTCTGAGCTTCAGTCTCCTCATTTGTAAGACGGAAATAATAATAACTAAATAATGTATTTCATAGAGTTGTTAGGAGGCTTAAATTAAGTAATGTATTTTAAGTACTTTGCAAACTTTAAAATGTTCTATAAATGTCAGTTATTATCCAAGAAACACCTATACCAACCTAGTTATTCATATCTGCTCATTTGAGCAGGTGACTAATGAACATCTACCAGATGACAATTTTATTAGTCAAACTAAGAATCCATGTGTTCACACTTAAATGTAATAAATAACATTGCTTTTTTACAAGTTCATTAACTCAATTCAGTAAATATTTATTAAAAATACGTACTATGTATAGTCCTTTTCCCCAGTTAGTCTGTTAGTGAATTTTTAATAGTATGTTTTAAGCTTCATCATCCACACCATGAAATTAATGAATACATGTTTTTCTGCTAAAGACCTTTTCTATTGACTCCTGTTGTGGACATAACCCTTAGTTCTCAAAGGTTATGCCACTGGATCATAATCTGTGGTAGGTTTTATCAAACTGAAGGGTTTCAAGTGATGGACCCAAGTCTTTTGCCTGAGGACTAGCCTGGTTAAATTCTGAGTCTGATCACCAGGTTTGCCACAGATGGATCACTTTTTCAGTTTCAGAAATTCTCTAAGACCATTTACTAAGTTATGAGAAGGGTTGCAGTCTGCATTGGAGAGATGGTGAAATTAAGATCCGAAGTATCAATGCTAATAAAAAGAGGTAATTCTCACCTGTAGTATGCCAGTGTCATTTGGTATCATCTTTCCCTGGCTTTTTCCCAGCATCTGATCACCGTTTCCATAAGACTAGACTGCCATAGCTGAACTTCTATATCCTTAACTCTTGGCTCCCTTCTATGTTCCTTGACATTCATCTGCTCTTGACATTATTCACACTGTCTTCTAGTTCAGCAGATAAGTGTAGAAACAGGGGTTGGGTGCTTTATATTCAACTTTTACATGGCATTCATCTATTAAAAAGTATGAATTTTTCATTAACTTTAGTTTTATGCAAAAAATGAAATTATTTTCTCTGGTGTATTTCATATTAGAATACAAAAAAATTACAGACCACTTTTAAGAAAAATATTTTCCTGTTGACACAGTATTAAAGTGATCATTATAAAACTGATTTTTAAATGGTAAATCACTGTTTTGTATGTGTACTTGATAGAGAGGAAACAAATGTTGACTTGAAAAAATGTAGTGTGGAAAGAGTAAGACCTACATTATGAGGTATAAAGGAAATGGTTTGAAAAGAATGAATCACAATTTTAATTGTCCTGTAATATTGGTAGAACTACTTTGTCAAATGTTAACCATTAAGTTAAGAATACAAATAATTGAAATATGTTCTTTGCCATATAGAGAAAGGCTGGGAGTGGTATGTCTGTGAAGGTTTTCAGTATGTACTTTATCAACAAGCTGAGGCTCTGCTGTCCCTAGGAGTGTGCCCCAAATTAAAGGTGAGTGCAATAGAATGCATATGATAACTTTGCATTTTGTTGTTTCTAAGACAATGGTATTCAGAGTGGAACTAAAGATCTAGGACTACTGTAAAACTATTTTTCTCATTGTCACTTGAATACTCTTTCTAGTAAATTATATTTTTTCCCTGGAGTGATACATAGCATGTTTCACTTTTACTTAAATTTCATATTCTCTAATTTTTAGTAGTTAGTTACATTAATTTCTTTGTAGTTGTCTTTCACTTAACAAATATTCGTCATTAATAGTAGATCTATATGCCTTGCGCTGCTTAGTACTATGGGCCAAAAAGGAGTCTACAGTATTAGTGAGAGAATAAGTACACATGGAATGATAGTCAGTAAGATGGTATATAATTAGGTATTTAAAAAGTGACTGCAAAAAGAATTAAGAAAGATCCATATGGGCTTAAATGGTCAAGGAAAACTTTGTAGAGGAACTTGCCAAAAACAAACCAGTCTTTGATAAAGAGAAACAAGGAGAAATCTCAGCAAAGAATGTCTTGAACTTTGGTTGAGTAGATAGATAGTAGTCTATTCTTTAAATACATTTAATGGAAGTAAAATTTTAAAGGACATTTATTTAAATCTTTGAACTACTAGAGACTTCCCTACATATAATAATTAATAATGACTGGATCACAATAGAAGAAAAAAGTTTAGCCAGAAGAACTAATTACCTTTAGATATCATAAACACAGTTTTTCTCTACTGTAATAACCATATAGTGAAAGATTATTTTGCATAGTTGCTGTGTATTTTCATTCTGACTTGCAGTGATGCAGCATATCATTCTATCCTGGTCAGTACATTTCATTAGAGCTAGGATGACTCTGAAAGTAATTTCTTTTTTTATAATTGACATGAGGACACACCTCTTGGTAAAATCAATTAATAATATCCTGTAGTGTAGAGAGAGTACTGAACTTGGAGGCTAGTTAGACCTGGCTTCAGATCTTGCCTCAGGCATTAGCTGTGTGGATCTGAGCAGGTTACTTAGCTTTGTGAGCCTCAGTTTCATCATCTTTAAAATGAAGGATTTGGACTCAATAACCTTTATAGTTTCCTTCCAGCTGTAAAGCTATGATCTTATAATTATTGAGTAATTAATATGTGCCTAGCAGTGTTAATAACTTTTTTGGAATAACAAAACAGAATATCACGTAAGAATATGATATTGTTGTATTGTGGACATAAAAGCATATCTGTCATAAATTGAGCTTTTTTTTTCTCCTTAGGATGAAGTATTACATAATTTTTGGAAGCGTTACCTTCAGAAGAGCAAGCAGGCATATTGCAGGAAGCCAATATATTCCAATGATAATAAATCTGCAGTAAGTCTCAAGTTCATAAAATAACTAGTTAGTTAATTAACTAAGTAAGAAGTTAAAAGGTTGAAGGAAACACAGACAAGGAGGACAACTTTAAAAGTAATGTGTTAAATTTACTTTGTACTTTTTGTCATTGAATTTATTTTTTATTTCCACCCCTAGGATTAAAAAGAAATGTAAAACCCTTTTAACACATAATTGTGGTCAGATAAAACAAACTGCTATATTTGCTGTGTCCAAAAATATGTATCTTCTCCCTGTTATAAAGTAGGTAGCATTCTTCATTGTCGGCCCTCTGCAATCATAGTTGATCATTACAGCAATCAGAGTTGTTAAGTCCCGAAAAGGGTGAATAATTAATTTCTTGAGGCCCCATGTATTCAAATTCATACCATTTGAAGTTATAATTATGTAAAACATGGTAATTGGTTCTAGCCCAGTGGAAATATGCAGTGCAAATTTGGAATAATGGGACTACTTCAGGGGGTTCATTTTTCATACTGATTGGGACCTGGTTGTATGTTCAGTTGATGTTCACTTCATTTCACCTCATACCCAGCTATCTTATGACTCTCTTGACCTCAGCCCCAGTGACCTCATTTTGGCAGTAATTCTACCCCTATGGTTGCTTCCTCCAATTAGTGAATTCTTTCCTAGAACCTCTATTTGACAAAGTATCCTAAATAACTATGCTCACTTCAGGTCTCACTCAGCCCATAAGTCCTTGGACTATTTTTTCACTTACCTCTTCTGCTCCATCTTAGATGTTGTCTTTGCCTCATTTGAATACAAGCTCCTTGATGGTTAGGACTGTGTTTTTGTTTGTATTTGTGTTTTTAGCACTTAGCACAGTGCCTGGCCCAGAGTAAGAATTTAACAAATTCAACTTTCTATCTGTCTTGTCTGTCTATCCATCCATCCATCCTGAAACTGTATCTTTCTTCATATCTTACAGTAATAGTATTCCATTAATTAATATACCATAATTTGTTCAACCATTCCCCACTTGATGGATACCCTCTTAGTTTCTAGTTCTTTGGCACTACAAAAAAGAGCTGCCATTAAATATTTTTGCACATACAATACCTTTTCCTGTTTCTGTGATCTCTCTGGTGTATAGACCTAGTATTGGTATCACTTAATCAAGAGGCTTGTAGTTCAGTAACTTTTTGATCATAGGTCCAAGTTGCTTTCCAGAATGCTTGGACCAGTTCTGAACTCCATGAACAGTATGTAAATGTGCCTATTTTCCCGAAACCCCTCCAGCATTTGTCATTTTTTTGAGGGGGGGTCAGCTTTGCCAATCTGATAGGTGGAATTCCAGAGTTAGTTTAACTTGCATTTCTCTAATAGTTATTTGAACATTTTTTCATATATCTATAGATTACTTAGGCTTCTTTCCTTAAAAATTGCATCATCATATCTTTTGACCATTTATCACTTGGGGGAATGCCTCTTAATTTTTATTCCTTGAATCAGTTGCTTTTATACTTTGGAAATGAGACATTTATCAGAAAGCCTTGCTGCAAAGGTTTCCCTACCAATTAACTGTTTCCTTTCTAATCATAGCTTCATTGGATTTGTTTGTGTAAAATTAATTTTATATAATCAGATTGTTAATTTATCATCTTTGATCTACTCTATCACTTGTTTGGTGAAATCTTTCCCTATCCATGGATTTGAAAGGTAATATTTTACCTGGTTCTGATTTGTCTATATCTGACTTTTTATATCTGGGTTGTGTATCTATCCATTTAGGACTTATTTTGGTATATAACGTCGTGTTTATCTAAGCCTAATTTCTGCAGGCCTGCTTTCTTAAATAGTGAATCCTTACCCCAGTGGCTGGGGTCTTTCAGTTTATCAAACACTAGCTAGTAGGTTCATTTACTTCTGTATATTGTATACCCAGTCCGTTTTGTACACAGTCCAGTGATGAACTTTATATTTTTTTTTCAGCAGGTACCAAATAGTTTGGGATTTGATTCTGTTCCACTTTTTTCATTTTTACCCTTGAGATTCCTGACTTTTTTGATCCTCCAAATGAATTTCATTGTTTTTTTTTTCCCAGCTCTACAAAGTAATCCTTTGGCAGTTTGATTGGTGTAGCACTAAATTAGTTTAAATAACACTATCATTTTTATTATATTGGCTTAGCCTACCCATGAGCAATTAATGTTTCTCTAATTATTTGTCTGTCTTTATCTTTGTAAACAGGGATTTATAATTTTATTACTATAGTTCTTATGTATATCTTGGTAGGTAGATTCCTAAGTATTTTATATATTCTATAATTCTTTTTTTTTGTTTGTTTGGTTTTTTTTTTTTTTTTTAGGCAATTGGGGTTAAGTGACTTGCGCAGGGTCACACAGCTAGTAAGTGTCAAATGTTTGATCTGAGGCCGGATTTGAACTCAGGTCATCCTGACTTCAAGGCCGGTTCTCTATCCACTATAATTCTTTTAAATGTAATTTCTCTTCTTATCTCTTGTTATTGAGTTTCATTGGTAACATATAAAAATACTTATGACATATATAGATTTATTTTATAGCTTGCAATTTCACTGAAAGTATTGTTTCAATTTATTTTTAGTTGATTTTCTAGGTTTCCTTATACCTTTATATCATCTGTAAAAAGTGATAATTTTGTTTCTTTTTTGAATATGCTTATTTTCTCAGCTTCATTTTCTTGTTGTGTTGCTATAGCTAGCATTTCTAGCACTATCAAATAAAAGTAGTGGCAGTGGACATCCTTACTTTATCTTGGATTTTACTGGAAAAGACTCAGTTATATCCCCTTTATGTATAATGCTGGCTGCTCTTAATATCAGATTTAGAGAATCCATCCTAAATGCTCAGATGGACTTTTTGTGCCCAACCTGTGGTAGAACATTCTGATCTCGTATTGGTCTGATCAGCCGCAGTAGGACACACTGAACTTGACTCTAGCATAGTGATGTCGTTTTGGTCCTCTTTGAGAATGAAAGACAACCAGTAATGCTGGCTGCTCTTAATATCATATAAATTCTGTTTACCATGTAAAGGAAAGATTCATTTATTCTTGTATTTTTAGTGTTTGAGCAGAAGTAGATGGATTTTGCCAGTAGCTTTTCCTGTCAATTGATGTAATCATGTTATTTAAAAATTTTTGTTATAATATGGTCATTTATTTTTATAGTTTTCCTATTATTATACCAACCCTGCATTTTTTCCATAAAGCCAACCTAATGACAGTGTATAATCTTTTTGATATGTTACTGTAGCCTCTTTGCTAATGTTTGATTTGTAATTTTTTGCTTCGTGTTCTCATTGGGATATTAGTCTATAGTTTTCAACTGATACTTGGAGGTCTGGCAATGAGAGGGGAATTCAAAGGTGTTGTAGACTCTCTTGTGAACATAACCAAGTCTGATGGAAGTCGTGTTTTGTGTCAAGGTTTCAATATCTTTGTCCAGGGCATTATCATCTATAAAGCAGCCTACTTTGGAAATTATACAGTCATTGACTGCTATTGCAGATGTGGTTGGTCTCTTCTTATCCCTCTGATATAGAAAAAACAGTGAATGACAATGTAGTCTGTGGGGAGCAAAGGAGCTGATGTCACTTATACTAGGATAATTGATTGCTGGAGGAAGACTGCTAAAGACAAAAGTGGAAGAGCATTTTTCAGGAGTACCTAGTCCTATTTTTTTTTAAGAGCAATGTTTGATCTTTTGTGCTTGTCCTATATGATGAATTGAAGAAAATAGAATCTAAGTATATCCTATCTAAAAGTGGAAACAGTGAATATAGATTATGTAGAATACTTAACCATACTTAACATTTTGAACCATTAACCTTCAAGAAATAACTGTTGTCTTTTTAACCAGGCCAGATCATGTTTATAGAGAATCCAAGTAAAGCCTTTAGAAAAGGAGACTCATTTGTTGTGGTCCATTATTCATATGATGGAATTGATGATTCATGATACTGATTTTATTGGTTTTGGGAAAGTAATAGTTGCTGTGGGTCCAAGGATTCAGATCAGCATAGACCATCTAGTTTAAATACTTTTGTGTAGGACCAAAGATTTATGTTTAAGTATTTATTTAAAACAAATAAGAAACATACCTACCATTTGTATTTAAATATATAAGTGTATATGTGTGTATATGCATATGTGCGTACACACACACAGACACACACACACATACTATTTTGTGCAGTGCAATATTTTTGGCAGTCATGATCTGTGTTGATCATTCTGCTACAAAACAGTATGTAGAACAGTCTAAAAATAAGTACAAGGTTGTTTTTTAGGGAGAAGGATGTTGGGTGCCTAGGAGAGACTACTAACAGGATCTGCCCTAAGTTAGTTGCCTGTGGCTTCTTTGTGTGTACTGGAGATACTGTTGGACTAGGGACAAGAAATTCTCTACCTTGTAAATCAAATTGCCTCTCTTCTAATACATCCTCTACATAGTTACTAAAATGATTTTCCTAAATCTTAGCTCTGACCATGTTCCATTCCTACTCGATAAATTCCAGCGGCTCCCAGTTGCCTCTGGGATCAAATATAAATTACTATTTGGCATTTAAAGCTCTTCGCAACCTGACCCCTTCCAACTTTTCTAGTCTTCTTACATATTACTTCTCGTTCCCTACACAAAATGCTCCATCTCTATGCCTTTGCATTTCCTGTCTCTCACATCTGTATTGCTCCCCCTCCTTAACTCTTAACTTTAGAATTCAGGCAGCTACATGTCAAAATGGATAGAGCACTAGTCCTGGAGTCAGGAAGATTTGAGTTCAAATGTGACCTCAGACACTTCCTAGTTGGGTGACCCTGGCTAAATCGCTTAACTAACCTCTGTCTTCCATTTTTCTTAACTGTAAAACGGGGATCATAATAGCACCAATCTCCCAGGGTTGTTGTAAAGATCAAGTGAGATAACATTTGTAAAATGCATAGCTTAGTGCCTGGCACATAATAGGTCCTTAATAAATCTTGTTCCCCTCTCCCCGCCCTGACTTCCTTTAAGAATCAGTCAAGTGTCACCTTCTGTGAAAGGTCTTTTCCGGTGTCCAGCTTTTAGGGCCTTTTCTTCTGAGGTTACCTTCCATCTATGTTTTGTATTTATATGTATATATGTGTATATATATATGTGTATATATGTATATATATATGTGTGTGTGTGTGTGTGTATATGTATACACACATTGTCTTCCTTGTTAGGAAGAAAGCCAGGACTGTTTTTTAATTTTTCTTTGTATCCCCACAGTTTAGTACAGTACCTGACATATAGGTACTTAATTATTGATCCATTGAGTTGAAAATCATTTGAGCACCTTCAAGCTTGCTTAATGGCAATAGTTCTATAGGGACTTAGAATGCTTGTTCCTAATGATCTGTACATAGTAGGCACTCAATAATATTTGCCATCTTAATGAATATTAATGAATAGTCATGTTCTTTGTCCTCAAGGAATTAATGATCCTTGTTATCTTTAGTTTGAAAAGAGCTTATGGTGGTTGTGTTGCCAAATGACTATGTTTTGTGCTTTTATACAAAAGACATGAATCATTTGAAGTTTATAGAAGTTGTGTTCTTCACTGTTTTCTAGGCAGTAATTTTTTTTTTAATTTTGAAAATAGGCATCTGACAGCCATCTGAGTCTTTCAGGCTTGGATAGTGAGCCTGAGCTGCTTAGTATCCGTAGCTGCCCCTCCTCAGAAGGTGAAGCAGAATCTCAGTCTGATGTCAACAGTGGACTGATTCTTCCGAACATCAAAACTACACAATGTGGTAAGTGAACATTCAAACCATATAGAATCATAGGATTTTAGAACTGGAAGGGACCAATGAGGTCATCTTGTCCAACCCCTCAATTTTATATATCAGGTATCTAAGGTCCAAGTTGGTTTCTTGCCCAAGGTCACATGGCAAAACTTAGATTCCTAATTTTCAATCCAATGTTCACCCTACTGTACCACAGTATTTTGTAACTACTACATTATTTATTTGTTTTGAAATGGTATATGTTGGCAGAGGATATGTGATATGTCTTGGGAATGAAGAACAACCATAAGACTACTAATGGTATTCTTAATTCTCATGGAGATTTTAGCACATTAAAACAGGTACAGGTTCTTAGGAACTATGCTAAAGACGCAAGACAGTTTTTATGTCTTAAGAACCATAATAACTGAATGGCCCAGTGGATAGAGCCCTGGGCTTGGAGTTAGGAAGACCTGAATTCAAATCCAATCTTAGCCACTTACTATGTCACTCTGGCCAAGTACTTAACCTCAACTGTAAAATGGGCCTACCTTCCAGGCTGGTTGTGAAGATAAACTAAGATAATATTTGTAAATTGCTTAGCACAGTGCCTGGTGCACAATAGATACTTAATAAAAGCTTATTCCCTCTCCTTCTCTCTTAGGAGATCAACTGAGGCCAAGAAGTAGATCTGTGCCCACCTTTATAGACTAAATTACTCTGTTGAGTAATTCACTTCAATTCAACAAATATTTCTTTTTTTTTCTGATGGAAATCAGTTTTTTTCTACTTAATAGTATTTTGTTTTTTCCAATTACATGTAAAAATAGTTTCCAACATTCATTTTTATAAGATTTTGAGTTCTAAATTTTTTTCTCCCTCCCCTCACCCTTCCCCAAGATCAAAGGGTATACACAGTTTTATAGCCTTTTGGGCATAGGTCCAAATTTGCTCTCCAGAGTGGTTGGACCAGCTCACAACTCTACCATCAATGCATTAGTGTTCCATTTATTCCACATCTTCTCCAACATCTATCATTTTCCTTTTTTGTCATATTAAACAACCTGATAGGTATGAGATAGTACCTAAGAGTTATTTTAATTTGCATTTCTCGAATCAGTAGTTATTTAGAACATTCATATGACTATAGATAGCTTTTATTTCTTCATCTGAAAATCGCCTGTTCATATCCTTTGACCATCTATCAATTGAGGAATGACTTGGGTTCTTGTAGATTTGACTCAGTTCTCGAAATATTTTAGAAATGAGGCCTTTATCAGAGACACTGACTGTAAAAATTACAACAAATATTTCTTAAAGCACCTGACTTGTGATAGGCACTGGGATATGAAGCTGTCCTTGTGCTCAGGCTTGTAAGGGATGTAGCAGTAAATACAATTAAATTTTAGGAGAGGGAACACTAAGAATGGGGAAATAAGTAAAAATTTTGAATAGGAGCTGACAAACGATTGGATCCTTGAAGAAAGCTAGTGATATTATGAAAGAAGTAGAACATTTTAGGTCTCTTTATTATTCCCAGAGGGGAGAGCATTCTAAGAAAGGAGTCAACCCCTTGGGCATACTTACTGAGATTAAAGATGGAATGTCAAGTTTGAAAGATAGGCTGTTGTACAATATGGCAGATTTTTGCAATAGCCTGTTAATTGTCCTGTATGCCTCAGGTCCCTCTTCTCTCTAATCCATCTTCCTCATAGCTGCTGAAGTAATTTTCCTAAAGCCCAGGTATGACCCCATTGTTCTCCTGATTAGTAAACTCCAGTTGTTTCAGAGAGTAAATTGCCTGTTACCTCTAGAATCAAATACAGACTCCTCTCTTGGGCATTTAAAGCCTTTCACAATTTAGCTTCAGCCTGTGTTTCAGATTTAAGATGCAGTGTTCACTTCCATACACTGAATGTTCCAACTAAACAGACCTCCTTGCTGTTATTCCTGACACATGTTTCTATGCCTTTTTATGGGTTGGCCCTATCCCTGAACTGTGCTCCTTCCTGATCTTCATGTTTGAAAATATCTAGTAACCTTCAAAGGTCTTTCCTAATCCCTAAGAATTTGTTGTTCAGCCGTTCAGTTGTGTTTGACTCTACATGACCCCATGGACTTTGTCCATGGGTTTTCTTGGCAAAAATACTGGAGTGTTCTGCCATTTCCTTCTCCAGTGTGTCCCCATTTTACAGATGAGGAACTGAAGCAAATAGGGATTGAATGACTTGCCAAGGATCACATAGCTAGAAAGTGTCTGAGGCTGAATTTGAACTTAGATCTTCCTGACTCCAGACCCTGTGCTCTATCCACGGCACCACCTAAGCTGCCCCTAAGAATTATCTCATATTAATTAATTAATTAATTTGGTATCTTGTATACTTTTATTTGTATCTATGTCTCCTGTGATAAAATGTAGGCTGGCACTTTATTTTATTTTATATTATGTTTTTTGGTCCAGACCAGTGATTTCATTGGTAATGAGGATTATTGGTGAGGAAGTTCCTTCTACTAATGCTGATTGGCATTTACTCTGCAACTTATATTAAGGGTTGCCTTGGGTACCAAGAAGTTAAATGACTTACCCAAGATCACACAGCCTCTGTCAGAGGTAGGACTTGAACCCAGGCCTTCTTGACACCAAGTCTAGTTCAGTCCACTGTGCAGTGGCTGCCACTTCCTGACTTACCTCTGCCTGTGCTAATTAAATGCTTATTGATTGATTGATTTGACTGGAACATAGAGTATGTGAAAAGGATTAGTGTAAAATAAGCATCAAAAGGTAGGTGGAAGCCAGATTGTAGAGCAATTGAAGTACCAGATTGAGTGGTTTGTCTTTTATCCTAGAAACAATAAGAAGCTACTGAAGGTTTTTGAGTATGGTATTGATGGAGTCTTTTTCTTTGTAATATTATTGGACAGCTGTATGCAGGCTAAATTGAAGAAGAGGGAGGCTAGAAGCAGTGATATTAATTAGGAAGCTATTAAGAGTATTCAGGGCTAGAGCTTTAGTGCTGATGAGGATCAGAAGTAGGGTAGTGGCTATGTGAGTGGAAAGAGGGGAAAGATTAATCAAGGAACATGCAATTATTAAGTGACTACTATATGCCAAGTACTTTGCTAGGTTCTGGGAATACAAATTCAAAGAAGAAAACAGTTCCTATTTTGAAGGAGCTTCTATTCAAGCATGAGAGACAATAAATATATATCTGAGTGTGTATAGGATACATTTAAAGAGAATAAAAACAAAGTAGTTAAGTGCAGTGTAGTTAGAGAGGAAGGGAGGATTACTATTGAGAAGGATCAGGAAGAGCTTTATGTTAGATAATGGTGCTTGAGCTGCATCTTGATGGAAGAGAGGGATTCTATTAAATGGAGGTAAGAAGAGAGTGCATTCTTTGCCTGGAGGATGGCCAGCACAAAGGCACAGAGATGAAAGGTAAAATGTCATGTGTTAGAAATAGAGACAAGGCCAGATTGACTGAACCACAGAGTGGGGGTTGAGTGAGGAGGAATGTCCAATGAGACTAGAAAGATAGGTTGGGGATGGGTTGTGAAAAGCTTAAAAAGATAAATAGAAGAGTTTATTCAAGGTGTTCTAAAGGTCCTAGTATAGTTTTAAACTTATACAAACTTACAAAAACTATATTTGAAAGGTTAATTATTTAAATTTTAAGATAGTGATATATTTATTATTAAAATTTAATGTGACCACTATCTTATGCTATTTATCCATCATCCTAGTCAACTTTAGAACTTTGTAAAAACTTTTATTAGCTTATTCTCAGTAACTGATAGGATTGAATTTGTAATCCTAGATTTAAGATCCTAACCTTAAGAGGAACTGAGAAAAAAGTTTATCAACTTTATTATTTGAAATTCACAAAGCTAAATAGGTAAAAGAGAAATTTAAATAATTAAGCTTAAAAACTTTTTTAAAGCTTGCATTTATACCTCTGATGTTATTACAGCTTAAAAGTACACTAAGCCTTTTGAGACCCCTTCTATTTTATTCTAAAGGCAATTAGGGAACCAGTAGAATTTTCTGAGTGTGGTAGTGACGTGGTCAGATTGGTATTTAAGGAAAATCACTCTGATAGCAGTATGTAGGGTAGACTGGAGTAGGCAAAAGATTGAATTAGGGAGACCAAATAAGATGTTGTTGTAATGGTCCAGTGACAAGTGATGAAGGCCTGATTTAAGATGGTAGTTGTGTGAGTAGAGAGAAGGGGATGTGTTTACAAAATGTTGTGAAGATAGAAAGGACAAGATCTGTCAACAGATAGGTGAGTTGTCTTGAGAGTGAAAAATTGAGCATTTATGAACCTGAATACTGGAAGAATGGGGGCAGTGTCAGAAGAAATAGGGAAATTGAGAAGAGTGGTGGGTTTGGGAAAATGTGACAGATGTGGAGGTAGAATTGACAAGACTTGGCAGATAATTGAATGTGAGGGGAATAAGGTAGTAGGAAGTTTCAGTGATGACTGAGCTTATAGGCTTGGGGTTCTGGAATAATGATTTTGTCACTCCTGTAAAAATAGGGAAGTTGTAGGAATATTGGTTTTGGATGGAAAGAATGAATTCGATTTTTGGTATGTTAGATATAAGATACTAATGGGATATTTGGGAGGAACATTCAGGAAAAGTGATTAGGAGTCAGCTATATAGATATGATAATTGAGCTTCTGGGAGCTTATGAGATCACTGAGAATATTAGAGAGAGAAGAGAAAAAGACCCAGAACAGAATGTTGGGGGATCTGTCATTAACGAACACTATATGAATGATGATGTGGTAGAAGAAACTAGGAAGTGGTTAGAAAGATGGGAGAACCCACAGAGATAAGGGTCAAAGAAAGTTAATGGAGGAGATTGTATGTAGGAGAAGGATGTGGTTAATAGTGTCAGGAACTTTCAGGTGTCAGGTAAGATGAGGAATGAGTAAGTGATAAGGAATGGAGGCAAAAGTTCATATGACTGTTTTTAGTAAATTGTGTGTGAGAGAGCATGGAGTAATAAGATGGAAACT